AATCTTTACTTCATTTGTTCACAAAGGATCCATTCCTCTTGGTCTTCAAGCTGTCAAATTTCTTCTTCTCCATATTTTCCATCTTAGAATTCAACTGGGTTTTGGATGAGTAAGAAATTATGAATATTTGCTCTTCTATCTTCGAATGCGCAATACATGGAAGCTGAGCCCACCATTTGCTTTTGATTGTCTAATTTGGGTTTGATTTTTGTTATGTGCTTGTCAAAACAAAAGATCAAAAGAAATTTTACTTGTGAAAGTATGGATTGATTTAGAAGTGCATGAACTAATTTAAATTCTCAAAGGGCATTGCTTTGTCTTTTTAAACTCTTTCTCTCTCCTCTTACCTTAATTTCCTTAGTCATTTGAAGGAAACAAGTATGATTTTGGACGGAAGTTGTAATTATGTAATTGGAATGTTAATAGAGGGAGGTTTGAGTTAGTGTCCAAACGTTAAAGTCGCATGCGTTATTTTCACTATAATTTAGGGAGATGTTTTTATTTCTCCCTAATTTTAGTTCTAAGGGTTTTATTTTAAAACTTCAACTTGTTTTAATCTTTTCCCTTTAAGAAAATTTATCCTCAAATTTTTGTAGAACAAGCCAAAAATGATAAGAACCAAAGTCAAATCAAAGAACATGTCAAAGAAGAAATAGACTCATAATCAATTGCGTTATAAAAACGGATATGACTCAAAATCAAAAGAAGAAAAGAGTTGTGGATGTATCTCTTTCATCTCGGCCTCTAGATCCCAAGTACCACTCCTTAATTAAATGGTTATCTTAACCATATGATCTCTTTTGGATCAGAGCTTAGCATTTTGGAATTTTAAAATATCAACTAGTACATCTTCAAAAGTCAAGTCCTCGAACACTTGGATATCCTATGACACTATCGTGTGGGTAGGATTGGAAATGTATCCCCTTAACATAAATACGTGGAACATAAGATGTATATGAGAATATTTATTTGGTAGATTCAACCGATATGCTAATTTCCTAATCCATTTGATGGTGGTAAATGGATTGATATAATATAGAGCCAAGTTTCCTTATTTACCTAAACATAGGACGTCCTTCATAAATGACGACTTTAAAAGCACTTGGTGCCCACCTAGAAGGTCACATCTCTATGTTTAGGATCAATGTAGCTTTTATTTCTATCAAAGGTGACCTTAATCCTCTCTGATGATTGGTACTCTTTCTAAAGTAACCCATATTAGGTTTTGTCTTACTAACCGCTTATCTCCTACTTCATTTGAATATATTGGAGGTCTATACTTTCTTCTATATAATTTCTTATAAGAAACATTCCTATACTAGTTTAATAACTATTTGGTAAGCAAATCCAACTAATAATAGGTATGAATCCCAATATCATTTTGGGTCCAATGCACACATTTTAAGCATGTCTTTTAATATCTAGATGATCCTTTCAGATTGTCTATCCATCTGAGGATGAACAATAATACTAAAATCAAATCTGGTGCCCAAAGATGCGTGTAAGGCTTTTCACAACCTAGAGGTAAATTGTGGTCCTTTATCAAAGATGATAGAAATAAGAAATCCATGTAATTTCACTATCTGGAGATGTAGAGTTCCAGTAATTCATCAACTAAGTACTTGGCTTTGATGGATTGAAATAAGTTGACTTAGTAAGATGATCCACTATAACTCATATTGAATCATACCCTTTCAGGGTCTTTGGCAATCCTACAATAAAGTCGTCCTCTCCCATTTTCACTATGATAAAGGTAACTCTTGCATCGGTCAAGGACGTCTCTAATGTTTTGCCTTTACTTATTGATAAGTTTTGCATCTAAATGCAAAACTCAGTTACATCTTTCTTCATTACATACCACCAATAGTTATTCTTCAGTCCTTGATATACCTTGATGGTTCTCAAATGTGCATTCTAACAACATAATGGGATTCATCCATAATTTCCTTTCTAATTATCTCATCCACATCTAGTAAACACAATCTAATTCTTTTTCTAAGAATTCCATCACCACCAATCTCAAAATCACTAGATCCACTTGTAGCTACTTCCTTCATAATTGTAATTATGGATCACAAGATTGCGCAATTTTGATCTTATCAAGCAATAATGGCCTAATCCTAAAATTAGATAGGTAAGTATTAGAAGGAGAAACTTTTAGCTTAAGGCCTTTATCAAATATTTAATCTAATTCTTATAGTAAAAGCCTTCTCTTTATATAAATACTATTCAAACTCAGCATGGACTTTCGACTCAAAGTATCTGCCACTATGTCGGCCTTTCCTAAATGGTATTGGATTGTGCAATCATGATCTTTAAGATACTCCATCTAATTTCTTTGCCTCAAATTCAAAACTTGCTGGTCAAAATATGTCAAGCTCTTGTGTTTAATGAAGATCTCACATGTGACACCATACAAATAGTGTCTCCATAATTTAAGAGCAAAAATATTACTACCATTTAAAGTCATAAGCAGAATAGTTTTACTCATGTTTCTTCAACTGCCTTGAAGCACAAGTGATGCCCTATCAAGTTGCATCAACACATAACCCAATCCTATTATAGAAGCATCACAGAATACTACATAGCCTTTTAAACTTGAAGGTAAGGCTAACACCGAGTAGTGTTTAGATATACCTTAAGTATCCGGAAACTTGCTTTACATGCATTAATCCAATTAAACTTCGCATTCTTCTATATCAACTTAGTCAAAAGGAGCTGCAACTTGCACAAATCCCTGGTTGTAACCGGCTAGACTAAGAGATCTATGCACTTTTAGGGCCAAGAGGGCCTTGGGCCTGATACCCATAAAATGTAAATATTGAATAATGTATAAGACATTTTTGGATTTTTACATAGCTTTTCTTGAAGATGCACCTTACTTGAAGGACACTCTTACAACCCCTAAAAATAGGGGAAGCTAACATTGAAAAAAAAAAAAAACATGCAAATCGATATAAACATAGCACGATTGCCTCGTACATTCAAGTTAACTTGTGTCTCCCTTTTTTTTTTTCCCAATCCCCTAATTTCTTATATTTCTCTCCAGTCCCTTTCATCTTTGCTTTTCCTTCTTCTGAACTTTTCTTATTCTTATTTCCTTCTTTGGAACCAAACAGGCTTCGACCCGTTTGTCCATCTATCCCAAAGCACTCTTGATAAACACAGACCCAACGAACCATAACTAATTTTAGAGCGAGCAGTACACAAATGAATTCCATGATTGGTGCTTAAATTAATCTTGTGGACTCAATGAAACTTTGTGAATTCCATTGTCTATTTATCTCAACATCAATATGGTGATTAGAATAAGAAGGTAAGACGATTACTAACTTAGTGACCACATCAAACTCAAACCTCCCTTTCTCCATGAAATTATTTCATTATCAAATATCAATGTCATTTGCAAAACGAATTTATCTCTAACTTTATTCAAACTTCGCTACTAATAACTCTGTTCCATATGGAAAACAAAGTTGGGATCCTCAAGCTGCATAAGTTTCTTAAGAGATCGAATTGTTTGAAAATTATTAAGCCTCCTAAAATCCCAAACTAAAGCACTCATTGCTTCTGGTAGGACTACAAAATACTCTCTGCCTGGCCCCACCATCTTTTATTTTTTCTGAACTTTCACTATCCCCCAAGCTATCCACCTCCATATAACTACCATCTCTTTGACAAGCTATTAGACTTTCTATTCAATTAACATATCAATTTTAGTATATTTTTGATATAATAAGTTTTTTTAAATAGTTGTTAACCGAACACATAAACTATTTAAAAATAACTTTTAAATATTTAACCAAAATCTTTTTTTTAAATCAACTTATAAGTTAAAAAAAATACATACTTCATCGGCTAAATATAAAAATTTAATCCTAAATTTTATTACTTTAACATTATGGCACTCTTAAGATTTAATTTGATTTATTAAACACTTCAACTTCTAAAATTATATCTGAAAACACTTCAATTTGCATAATTATTTTTATTGTTAACTTGCAAAATTAGATAAATTAAACACTTTTATATAGTTAAAAAAAAATATGAAAATTATCGTTCCAAAAGTTAATGCTAATTACTGAACAAATTAATATTTTACATATAAAATCCAAAAATCCTAAAACTATTGTTATTAGCATAGAAATATGTGTAATACCAAAATTTACAAATTTATGTGTATGATAAATCATGCATAAAATTCAGAGTACCACAAAATTAAAATTACAAAGTTAATGCTGAATTCTTGTATTTGGCCATTTTAAATAAAAAGTTACAAATAAATAGCCAAATCAAATGATCAAAGGGTGTCAATATGTGTTGATGAGTCGTATTCGTATTAAATTGACTTGATGATCCTATGAAAAAACATATCACATGCAATTTAAACATTTTATATAAATATAACTTGCGTAACATGTTTAATTACAATGGTCATATACATAGATCATAAAATGCAAAACAACCCACTTAACATTGCTAAATTTGTCTTCTGAGCAGTATTAGACATATATCATATCAAACTGACTATTTTTATTCTTAATATTATACGAGTTAATATATTATGCAGTGACAAATTTAAAATTTAAATTTAAAGGGTGAAACTATACAATATAAGATTTAAAATTTGAAAACTTAAAAAATAAATGGTTAATTATATTTGTGGTGTTTGAATTTTTTATTTTTTTATTTTCAAAAAGAAAATTATATAAAATTTAGTATCCCGCAATTTTTTTTTTTTTTTTTTTTTTAGTATCCCGCAATTTTTTTTTTTTTTTTTTTGCGTAAATTACACAAGTAAATTTATGTGTTTGGATAAAAAATCTCGGCTTTTCCAAACACAACCATTGTTATTTTTTTTTTTTTTTTTTTTTTTGCGTAAATTACACAAGTAAATTTATGTGTTTGGATAAAAAATCCTCGGCTTTTCAAACACAACACATTGTTAATTTGTCACCGTTCGCACACATGGGAAATAAACACGCATTCGATCAACCAGTTTTTAACGCCCAAATCGGCACTCTTTCCTTATAGAAAAACTCCCATACTCACTCACTGTCTCCTCATCTTTTCCTTTCTCTTTCCTTTCCTCTCTTTCCTGCGCTCTCTCTCTCCCTCCCTTTTGCGGTGACCCCTCTCTTCCCCTTTCTCCTGGGGTCGCCATACCTAAAAAAAAAAAACTCCAAAAAAATAAAAAACTCAAAAACTGAGAGGGAGACTGTTTTTTCAACTCAATTTTCGATTTCTTCTAAATTAAAACAACAAAAAAAAAAAATCTGAATTCTAATTATAATTAATAAAAAACAATCAAGCAGCTATGTCGGAGATGGCCAACACAGATCCAGAAGGAATCGACGGAGTTCGTATGACATGGAATGTCTGGCCACGCACGAAAGTCGAAGCCAGTAAGTGCGTTATCCCACTCGCCGCCTCGATCTCTCCGATCCGCCACCATCCTGACATTCCTACGCTTCCTTACTCTCCTCTCCGTTGCAAGACATGCTCCGCCGTCCTCAATTCCTTCGCCCGTGTCGATTTCACCGCTAAGATCTGGATCTGCCCTTTTTGTTTCCAGCGCAATCATTTCCCTCCTCACTATGCTATGATCTCTGAGACTAATCTCCCTGCTGAGCTTTATCCTCAGTATACAACGGTGCAATTCACGCTTCCGAACCCTGGCGTCAATCCTAGTAATCCAATGAACCCTGCAACTCCTGCACCGGCGGCTTCACCTGTTTTCTTATTCGTTCTGGATACGTGTATGATTGAGGAGGAATTTGGGTTTGTTAGATCAGCTCTCAAACGCGCGATCGGGTTGTTGCCGGAGAATGCTCTGGTTGGATTCGTGTCGTTTGGGACGCAGACGCAGGTTCATGAATTGGGATTTGCAGATATGTCAAAGGTTTATGTTTTTAGAGGCACTAAAGAGATTTCTAAAGATCAGATAATGGAGCAATTAGGACTTGGCGTTTCGGGCAGGAGAGCTCCTGCTGGATACCAACAGAAAGGGATGCAGAATGGATTTCCAAATACTGGTGTAACCCGCTTCTTGTTACCTGCATCAGAATGCGAATATACGCTCAATTCCGTACGTGCTTGGTTCTGCTTTCATCTTCTCATTTTGAATTTCAAATGCTAATGTGAGCTTTTTGTTGATCAAATGAAATTGGTGTTTAATTTTTATGTTTATAGCTTTTGGATGAGTTGCAAACGGATCAATGGCCGGTAGCACCTGGGAGTAGGGCTTCAAGGTGTACGGGAGTGGCCTTGAGTGTGGCTGCAGGGTTGCTTGGAGCTTGTTTGCCTGGGACTGGAGCCAGGATTATAGCTTTGGTTGGCGGTCCATGCACAGAAGGACCAGGCACGGTAATGCCTTTTGATTTCTGTGTTGTTTGTTATTATATTTTACTTTGATATAGAACTTCCCATTTTTCTTCTTTTTTTCTTCTATTCAATTTATGTAGTTAATTAAATTGGCTTAATTAAGTGGTTTCTGCAATTATTCTGTCTAGTGTCTGGCAATCAGCAGTATTTTTTAAAATGTATGCCAGAGTTTATGGCAAAACATTGAGAGTATAATGTAGCTTGCATTTTATTTTGAGAAGCAAGAAATGTTTGTATTGAATTTTTGTAGTTAAACATTAAGATTAACTGAGCGTTTTCTTCTTAGCTAAATAGAGTTTTTCCAAGAAGTGAAACCAATAATAGCCATGGCTCAAGTCGAGCCTTTTCTAATTAAAAGTTACTGTTCTCCCTCTCAATGTCTGTCCCTGATGGTTCACACATTGCAATGGGATCATGTTTTACCTGTGAAAATTAATTCTGAAACTTGGTTGACATGCCAATGAATATCATTTTTGCTGAACCAGTTTTTTATATTTTATAAATTGTGTTGATGAGAAACAGAAAAGAGAAATTCAATTGGCCTTTTCTCGGTAACTTGTAATGCCATTGAAGTATCTAGGCGAGATCATATTTAGAACAGTATGTGTAGATACAGGGTGGTTACTTGTTATTTGGGATTTATTTCATTCTTGCCTGATGCTGACTAAAAAGGGAACGAAATTTCTATTTGAAGGGAGGGAAATCATGAGCAGGGTAGTCAGCCCAAATTTATGGAATTTGTTTTTCCAAATTGTGAATTACTGCTGGTTTTCCTTTCTAACCCTTTCAGTAATGAAAACGTTGGTCTCTTTGTGCAGATTGTATCAAAAGACTTATCGGATCCAGTACGTTCCCACAAGGATCTTGACAAGGATGCAGCACCGTATTTTAAGAAAGCAGTAAAATTCTATGACAGTCTTGCGAAGCAGCTTGTTAGCCAGGGTCATGTTTTAGACCTTTTTGCATCTGCACTTGATCAGGTGTGTATCACTGAGCCTTTAAATTCTGTTATGGCATTTTTCTTTTGCAATAGGCCGTCTAGTACTTCTTTGAAAGTTAAATATATATCTTTAAGAGATTGGTCTTTATAAAATTGTGAAATAGAAAGTGTACATTTTCTCACATTCATGCCAATAATTTCTTTAATAAATATCCATTTACGCACAAAGTGCAAGCTCTACTTTCAGTTGAATATTTAATTATTTATCCTCTAGTAGACTATATATTTATCCAAGGGGGAGAAAAGAACAGCAAAATGAAAAGGTTGAATTTTAAAGGGAAGGTATTTAAAAAAAAAAAAAAGGAACACCAAAAGGTTGAAGTTTAAAGGGAAAGTAATATTGTAGATTTTGTTTGTCCTACATATTGTACTGGGCAATGTTGATAGATTGATGAGTACAACTTGGATCAAACTGGTTATCCATTCAATGTTTTTGAAACTACGTTGATCTTAACTAGTGCAAAAAATCAGGCCAAGTTTTGGACCTCAATCTAATTCTCAGATTAGGCTGGGTTCTCACATTGTCTAAATCTTTCGGGCCTAGGCTTATGTTCTCAGCATTGTTGGTGGACATAATGAAATGATCATTGATGGAATATCACTGTTTTGAAGATGTTTTTACTGGAAATAACCATCTAATTATTTCTCTATCCTGGTAAAGAATCATATTCTGTTACAGTTAGTTCTTTCAACTTATGGAAATTGCACTATTTAGGTGGGGGTTGCAGAAATGAAAGTTGCAGTTGAAAGGACTGGTGGTCTTGTTGTTCTAGCTGAAAGTTTTGGGCATTCAGTATTTAAGGACTCTTTTAAACGCGTATTTGAAGATGGAGAACAGTCTCTGGGTCTCTGTTTCAAGTGCGTTGCTTCTTTTACTTCTTCCATTCTTTTGTTCGCATTATTCATTTTGATACTGGTTGCTTTATCATCATTTAGATTTTTACCTTTGGTGGTTTGACAACCATATTATTAGCTGTATTGCAATGTTTACCTTATTTCCTTTTCAGTTGTGATGTAAACCCATATGGTTTTGTTTTCACTCATGTATGATTTTATCCAAAGGTCTTGCAGTTATATTCTTTACACTGATATATTGTTTGGTAAAGCTTTTTTACTCTCTCCTTGCTCTGTATCGATGTATGTTCATATATTCACACATGCCTTCATGTATGCATATGCATTTATATGTCAGCATGCATGCTACGCTGGTTATCTTCAGAGTTTTGCTGCAAGGACCCTTCTGTTTTGAATGCAGAATTATGACACTGAGGGAATTTTCCTTTTCCAAATTTTACATTCTAAATCTCTGCGTCGGTTATGTGAATTGTGTGTAAAGATCTGTGGCCGTCATGCTTGACCACTAAGGTTATAGAGGCACTTTATTTTTTATTGTTAGCTATCTATTATTTTGGAAACATGAGCCTAAGCACTAAGCCAAGTCAAATGGCTGCAGTATTTTTTGAATTTAATTTCGAAGAACCAACACTCAATTTCCTAGTGGTCACATCTGAGTTTTATGTGGGCAGTGGGCTAACCATTGGACTGGTATCTACATTTGTTAATTCTTCACATAAGCATGAGGCACATGTATGTGATATAATTTGCTTTTTTTCCTTCTAGCCATATAATTTCTCTTATTTCCTTGCAGTGGAATGCTGGAGATTAACTGTTCCAAGGACATTAAAATCCAAGGGGTGATTGGACCTTGCACATCTATGGAAAAGGTTGGATGAATACGTGATTAAATTTTTATTGAATTATTTCTTTTGGTGCTAAGTATTACAAGTCTTGCAGAAAGGACCTAATGTTGCTGATACAGTCATTGGGGAGGGGAATACTAGTGCTTGGAGGATGTGTGGTCTTGACAAGAGTACTTGTCTGACAGTCTTATTTGATCTTTCATCAAGTGAAAGGTCAAATGCTCCAGGAGCTATAAATCCACAGCTGTACATTCAGTTCCTTACAAGGTGTGCCGGATCATAAAACTTATTTTCCCCTTCCCTTCTCTTATTATTTTTTTTTTTCCTTTTGGTTCTTAATGTATATTTATGTTGTCATCACAATGATGGATTGTTTTTATTGCAGTTATCAAAACCCTGAAGGTCATACAATGCTTCGGGTTACAACTGTTACTAGAAGATGGATAGATAGTGCTGTTAGCTCAGAGGTTGGTAATGTTTCTATATCATTTTATTGTTTTAATCATGTAAAGCTAGTGTTCTGATGAAAGCCATAGCTATGATTATTGTGTCTGATTTGATCTGGGATGTAAAGATCAATTTATATTGGAGCTGCAGTGTGTACGTAATGCAGTTCATGTGATCTAAGGGACACTCAAATCCATAGAGAAAAGGGGGGTGCGGCATGGATACATGAAAAGAACTCCTTTTTCTTGCTTCATCATCTTCTTCTTATTGTTGTTTGTTGAAGGACCTCAAAAATAGTTATTCCAAAAATCTCCCACAAATAATTAGTCAATTGCTTTGATCTAGCAGATACTTATTGGTGTCTCAGTGATTTGTCGCAATGGTGCTGTAGTGTGGGGGTTAGTGTGGCAGTTTCATCCATTGTATCTGAAATGGGTTCATTATCTATCTACTGTTAATGGTAGAATTTTGGTTTAGTTGTTACTACTTTTGGAAGTTCAAGTGTTATAGTAGTTTTTTATGGAGCATTATTTGGGTTGCCAAGTGCCTTTGAGGGTCCCCTTGACAGCTGATTATAAAAAGATCTCCATGGTTAGACCACATAAAGATATTTTTTTTTTTGCTGGGCAGTTTGGGATCTGTCTCTGTTTATGGAGCCTTGTTCTGTCTGTTCTCCAATTTGTACTGTTTCTGTTAATGTCTGAAACAGTGTGAACTCCCTTGGATGGGAATATTTGAATGTTGAGAAAGGAAGAGGAATTATATTGTGAACGGTCCATGTCATTTCAGCATACAGTGTGAGACAGTCCAATTACCGATTCAGCTTTTCTTTTATTTAGTATACAGGAACTTCCCTAAAGAGAACCTATGGTGGAAGCCAAATGCGAAAACAACTAGATCATTTGCAAGTGAAGGATTCTACTAATAAAACAGTATCGACATCAACAAAAAAGTCTCTCATATATGAGTAAGGATTTTTAGATCACTTTTAAGAGCAAAGAGAGGTTTTGTTCTTCTCCATTAATGGTACCTTCCTTGTATGTGTCTTTTGATGTGCAAACTATTTGAAGAACTGTGATAGGGATGTGGGTGAGAAGTTTCCTATTATTATTGGTAAGGAAAAGTGAATCCCATTGTCTTCAATCATCCCAAATCAAACCTTTGATTCATGATGGTTGAACACCTGAATCTTAAGATTGATATCTTATCTGTCCTAGGATATATTTTGCTTCCTTACCTTTTCTCTATCCACAATTCGGTATATAAATTGTGTCAAGGATTTACAAAAATATAGTGAGTTAATTCTGAGTCTGGTGAGTACTCTTTGCAGGAATTGGTTCAAGGGTTTGACCAAGAGACTGCCGCTGTGGTAATGGCAAGAATAACATCCCTGAAAATGGAGACAGAGGTACTGATCAAATGTCTTCTCTTGGGTACCTTAGTTGTTCTTTGTAGTATATGCGCTATACCATCTCACTGTATCTCTTGCTTTTCGCAACCTAAATTTACTTGACCTTTGCAGTATATGTATGCACTTCACCATTTCATTGCATGTCTTGTTCTTGTAGAAACTCTTCTGAAATTTGGAACTTTCAACAGATGATCTTTGCTTTGTTAGGTGTGCATGGTCAGCTATTTCATATTTGCATGAATACGAGGATATTTATATTAATGTTGGAATTTTTCCAAGAATGATACGATCTCCTGAATTTTCTGGACATACTTTTCTTGTAATATCAGATCTTTGTTATCTTAGTTTCGGCAACAGTTTCATTGGTGCTCTGTGCCACTGCTCATAAGAAAACACAATATTTCTTTCCTCAATCCACATTGATTTCCCTGCTATGCAACCAGTTATTTTATTTCAGATTGTAAGATCTTGGATTTTTAGCATTGGTTACTTAACAAACTTACAATTTCTCTCTTTACCCCCCCTTTTCGTATTGGGGCGTGTATAACAGGAAGGATTTGATGCCACTCGGTGGTTAGATAGGAACCTCATCCGGCTCTGTTCCAAATTTGGTGATTATCGGAAAGATGATCCAGCATCTTTTACATTGAATCCTTCTTTTTCATTGTTCCCTCAGTTTATGTTTAATCTGCGACGATCTCAGTTTGTACAGGTAGATGATTACCAGTTTTCTTCTCACTTATATTTTTGTTTTTTGCTTAATCAAACTATTTCTATGTGTGTGCTTAATTTAATCTTGTATGTTTTTGGTTTTGGCAGGTCTTCAACAACAGTCCTGATGAGACAGCTTATTTCCGCATGTTGTTAAATCGGGAAAACATCACAAATGCTGCTGTCATGATTCAACCGTCATTAATATCATATTCATTTAACTCTCTGCCTCAACCTGCATTGTTGGATGTGGCTTCTATTGCGGCTGACCGTATTCTCTTATTGGATTCATATTTTAGCGTGGTCATTTTCCATGGTATGACAATAGCACAGTGGCGTAACATGGGTTACCAGAATCAACCTGAACACCAGGTATTTACGCATAATCTTCATGGTTCCTTTTCTTAAAAATTAAATAAATAAACTAAACATTTTCCAGTCATGAGAATTTCACAATGAAAATTGATAAGAGAAATAACACTTGCATTTCCTTTGGCTATTATATAAAGTATCTCCTTAGAAGTGTGCCAGGTACTTAGATCTTTAGCTGAGAACGTAGGGTGCTGACTTCATTAAACTCCATCAGTGTATAAATAACCTTTCAGTTCTGAAATTACCCCTTTAGCGTAACAATCCAGCACTATTGTAGACAAGCATGTCGGATCCGTATCTGAATGTATGGTTGAACTTCTCATGGGATTTTACTGTACATGCTCTTCCACATATCTCAAATGACTTCTGTTGGCATATGCCTATATTACTGGTGCTTTCTGGTCCGTTCCTTGTGTACTGGACGCTGCTGCTCTTTGGTCAAAAGAAACACATATCAACTTCCAGTGATATTGAGCTTTCATAGTTTCTTTTATGAATAAGTAGCTCTTAATTTAACTTTTGCCTTTTAGCTGTCGTCAGTCATCAAATCCTAGGCAATAGTTATCATCAATGATCTAGAACATAGTTACAAGAACATAGTTACATAAAACGCTACCCTCCCATTGGACCATGATCCGGCACACGTGTCCCTGTCTTTCCGGACACTGGATCATGCAAGTATGCAATCTGAATCTGTAAAATCAAAGTTCCCATTTCTGTTTTTGGGATTTGCATGTACTTTCAAATAGCAATTTGATGAGGTTGAAAGAGTATTCAATGATTTCATTTTGAATCTTTTGAAGTTGCAGAAACTTCTGTTTGTTTTTTGAAATTTTGGAAGAACATGAGAGGAAAAGAAGTAAGAAGAATAGAGAAAGAGAAGAGATGAGAATCAAGAGAGAGAAAGAGAGATAAGAAATGGAAGGGAAAGAGGGAGTGGGAGAAGATATTATCGAGAGTAAAATGGTTATTCAGCACAAAATTACATCAGCTGTTTATATATTACTGGAACTTCTCAACTGCGATATGCACAACTACAAAATAGAGCCTTATCAACTCGATTTCAATTACAAATAAACTCTTTGCATTTAAAATTGGGTCCTAACAATGGGGAGTAATATTTTGTTTATGATTACAACCCAATAAGTTAAACTCGAGAATAAATGAGTTTAGAGGACTTCTTATATTCTTTGAATTATTGAAGAGTTCCCAATACTTAAAAGAAGAAAATTATTTTGACACAAGCCTAGCAACCCAAATTCACATACCAAGTACCGAAATAGCGTATCAAGTCTACCCCTAGCATACTGTAATCTAGCTAAGTGGTGTACTATGTACCCATAACGTACTGCAAGCCAGAAACATACCACATCCCCGACAACTATGCTAGAAAGTGGTTATTTCTTGGTCTGCTTTGTTTTTTCCAAGGATTTTTCATGGAATTATTTGGGTAATACTTTTTGCTATTTTGGTACTGGCTAGTTGCTTCAACTATGCAGTTGGTACCCATTGTTGTATGATTGTCGTGAAATGTGTTTTGCACAACGCGGCTAACTACATTAATTTTACATGACAGGCATTTGCACAGCTATTGCAAGCACCACAAGAGGATGCTGCATTGATAATTAGGGATCGATTCCCCGTTCCTAGACTGGTGGTATGTGATCAGCATGGATCTCAGGTGAGTTATTGTTTTGGCTTTTTAGGTTTCTGAGGCTGTACTCCTGTTACTTCCTTGTATAAAAACCGGAATAAGACTAAGGATATAGCATGAATTCTTTGTGGCTTTTGCACTTCTGCATTTGGAACTGTTATTCTTATCCAAGACTGACTTTGATTTCACTGTCCATATCATGCCCGAACAGGCAAGGTTCTTATTGGCAAAGTTGAATCCATCAGCTACTTACAATAATGCCCATGAGATGGCTGCTGGGTCAGATGTAATTTTTACGGACGATGTGAGCCTTCAAGTGTTCTTTGAGCACCTTCAGAGGCTAGCTGTGCAGTCTTGATAGTAAAAACTTATCTTGTAGGTTTTTTCAACTTTTCTTCCCCGTGTGTGAATTTTGTATCCTCTCGTTTCTCATTCTGTTCCGTTCCATTGTTTTCCTTTCTTTTCTATCATCTTAATGGAGTGAAATCGGGCCCCACTTCATCGGGAACAATAAGGAGAGTCAAACATTATTCTTTAGTGGGGCTGCGGACCCTTGAAACAATTAAGGGACAGATTGGTAGAAAGTAGTGTTCATACAGAAAGAAAGGTATGTAGGAATGTGAATTAAGAGGGATACCTGCTTGAATAGTGAGGGCCAAGAGCAACGTATTTTGACAGTCGATTTTTCTTAATCCTTTTTGTATTCACCTGGGTCAGATGTGGTTTATGTATTAAGATTTTAAGTTAATACTGAAAGTGGGTAATGTTACTTAGGTTAAAAGTTGAGTCAGTCAGTTTGAACTATTTTTACATATTTTTTAGTTTTGTAACTCCTTTTTATATATACAATTTTCCTGTCATTGCAATTGTACTGTGTTAGTCGTTTTACTTCGAATCCTCTTTGAGCTTTAAGAAGGTACGTACAAGTGTATAATCAATTATTATCGTTACTCTCGTTTTTTTATGAATATACTTACTGTACTCTGATTTGAATATTTATGCATCTATTCGCGAGTTGTAATAAAATCAAATGTTTTTTTAAATAAATATTATATTATATTGGAAATAAATTTTACTTATGTTGCATTAACTCATTTTATGAGAAAAATACATTACTCTATCAAAATTATTGTGGCAAAAATTATAGTTTCATTTTTTCCGTACAAAGAATAAAATAAGTAATTAAATTAGTTTGAATATAATTTTTTTCTTATCTTTCCTTATATATCCTTAAAATAGAAAATGTTATATGATAAAAGTGTAATATAATAGTGAAAAAAAATGTCCAAAAATATAGATAGGACTATTACTTTGAGACGCCAAAACTTATAATTTTGGGATGGCAAGAGTTTATAGGAATAAAGATCAATTTGGTAAAAACTTATTAAGAAAGGTGTAGTGCATAAATTTGATCTTATACTTTCAGTAATTATTTTTGTGGTCCCTTGAACTTTATAAGAGACTCATCGTGACACTGTATTTTTATATTTCAGTAATAACTATGCTTCTTGAAGTAAAATGTTAAAATGCATGGTCATGATTGAATGCTTCAAATTTATTTCATTTTATGACATGCATAATTATTACTGAAATGTGAATGTGTATAATCAAGATTGAACGTTGCAAAGTTCAGGGATCATACGGAAAAGCAGCCAAAATTTAGAGTCAAATTTATGCATAGGTCAATAATAATTATATTTGAACTTTTGGGCTATTTAGCACAATAATTATAATGGTAAAAGGTGCAACTAATCCATTATTAAGATTGTTCAAAGAGTGCGAATTTCAGAACATATTTAAAACTCAATTTTATCATACACGCCACTTACAATTTGTGTCAACTCTTTCTCTCATTTTAATTTTTTTGTTCTCTCACTCTCTTATGCAACTCACCAAGGCAGCCATGGAGATGGAGGCTTGAAGATTCCAATGGGATCAATCACTAGAGCACGTTCCAATAAGTTCAAAGCTCAATTGCAAATCTTTATACGAGCTTTGATCTCACAATAATTCAAGAAGATATATTGAGCACGTTCCAATAAGTTCAAAGCTCAATTGCAAATCTTTATACGAGCTTTGATCTCACAATAATTCAAGAAGATATATTGAGCACGTTCCAATAAGTTCAAAGCTCAATTGCAAATCTTTATACGAGCTTTGATCTCACAATAATTCAAGAAGATATATTGAGCACGTTCCAATAAGTTCAAAGCTCAATTGCAAATCTTTATACGAGCTTTGATCTCACAATAATTCAAGAAGATATATTGAGCACGTTCCAATAAGTTCAAAGCTCAATTGCAAATCTTTATACGAGCTTTGATCTCACAATAATTCAAGAAGATATATTGAGCACGTTCCAATAAGTTCAAAGCTCAATTGCAAATCTTTATACGAGCTTTGATCTCACAATAATTCAAGAAGATATATTGAGCACGTTCCAATAAGTTCAAAGCTCAATTGCAAATCTTTATACGAGCTTTGATCTCACAATAATTCAAGAAGATATATTGAGTAATTGGTCTTGGACCAAGTAGTTCAATTTGGATTTTTAAATTATTTTATTACTTATGTATGGGCCTAAAAGTGGTAGCCCATATACTTAGGCCTTAGGGCAACTCATTTTGTAACTCATCATTAGGGTTTGGTGCAAGAGAGGCATATAAATAGTATCCTCAGGTGAAAATACGAGATTAGATTTAAGTTTATGAATATTATGGTTGTTTGCCTTTTCTTTTAAGGAGAATTCAGATTCACGTTCGTTTTGCCTTAAAGATTGATTCAACTTATCAAGTAAGTTAACTTGTGGCGTTAATTCAATTCTCATGTCTTATTCAAACTTTTTGTCGTCAATTCCTTGCTGTTTTAGGGGATGGGCTTTATTAGATTGATTGAATTTAGGTTTGGAAACATTTATTGATTCAGAGGTGATTCTTGCATTGTTCTTGAATTGTTGCCGTATCACTCTCTTCTCTCATCTTTTACCAAAATCTAATCTCTCTCTCCTATCTAATTTGTATCAATCACCATTATTCACTCAGTCTAGTCTCTCCCTTTGATGCAAATGTTGCTATAGATTTTTGGTGTATTTTACTGGAGATAATTTTGCCAAAGTTAATTATGTTTTGTTGCACTGTTATCTTGTAAATCTCCATATCTTGTAATAGTTGAAGTTAAGTAGAAGTAGAGAAGAATGTATGGTGTAGTTTACTTTAAACTTTAGTTTTGAAGACAAACTTCCTTAATTTATGGAGGTTTGGCGAACAAACTTTAGACTAATTGTTGTATAAGTATTTTCTATATACTATAATAAAATTAATCTTTCTCCTCCACTCTCATATAATTATCTGCTAAATTTCTCTTTATCTTTCTTAAGTTTCTGCTCTTCAAACCAATAAAGGGTATCAAAGCAACCTTGATCTTAGCAGTATGTGTGTGTATTTGAGTGAAAACCTTAGAGAAAGTCACCAAATAAACCAGAGATCGTGAAGTTTTTGGTTTATTGTTTTCCTTTAAATGGCTTCTAGCAGCACTCCTCCTTCACCACCTCATTTTAATGGGAAAACTATCATGTTTGCGCTATGAGGATGAGAGCTTATCTCAAGGGAATTGGATTGTGACAGTATGTGAAGGAACATAGAGTACCACTACCTCTTAGATAAAATCCAACCTTCAATAGATTATACAACATGAAGAAGAGGTTGCTAAGGCTCTAAAAGCCTTATCCTATATCCATGTAGCTATTGCAAATCTTGTCTTCACCAAGATCATGGCATGTGAGACAACACATAAAGCTTGGGAGAATTTGAAGATTTAGAATCATGGATCTAATAAAACTAGACACAAATGGGTATATACTTTGAGAAAAGAATTTAAAATGTTAAAGATGAAAGACAATGAAAAGGTAAAAGATTATGTTGATAGAGTTATGAAAATTGTAAACCAAATTTGGTTGTAAGGAGAAGAGTTAGAGAGGAGAATTGTGGAGAAAGTTATGGTGGCTCTCCCTAAAAAGTTTGAAGCCAAGATTTCTTGAGCTTTCAAATGCTCTATAAGCTATAGAATAAAAAAAAGCCTGTAAGGAAGAAGAAACCATTATAGAGAAGGCTCTTGTAGCAACTCAGAGAATAAAAATGCAAGGAGGTTCAAGAGGTCAGTAAACTGACAAAGCAAAAATTAAGAAGAATTTCAAAAAAAAAAAAAAAAAATTGGAGGAAGGACAAATTTTCACCTTGTGCATATTGAAAAAAAAAATATATATATATCAAGAACTACTGCTGGTTCAAAGCATTTGTTAGCTCAGTTAACTTGATTTTAGATATGTCACAAGTGTCTTTAAGAGAGGAAATTTTTGCTTCTCTACAATTCTCTTTTCTTCTACCTCTTCTCTCAACAACCTAATCTGATTTATCACCTTCATAACTCTATCAATATAGTCATATATCTTCGCTGAATCTTTCATCTTCAATAGTTCAAATTCCTTCCTTTATAGACTTGCATCTGTCTTGTTTTTTTAGACCCTTGATATTTGTCTTTAACTTCTCCCAAGCTTCATGTGATAATTTACATTCCATGATCTTCATGTGTTAATTTACATTCCATGATCTTAGTGAAGATATGATTGCTGCATGAATATAGGATATGAATTTTGAAGCTTTGACAATTTTTTCTTCGTGTTTTAATCTGTTGAAGTATTGGATTTTGCCTCAAAGGAGGAACTGTTATTTCAACTTCTATATATTGCCATAATCCAAGACCTTGGAGGTAGGTCTTCATCTTTACTGCCCAAAAATGATAATTTTCATCACTGGAGTGAGGGGGTGACAGAAAAGTGCAGCTGGAAGCCATAAAAATGCAGCTACAAATAGAATAAATGGGTTTATTTGGTGGTTTTCTCACTTATTTTCTCTCATACACTCATATAGCCCTTCAAGATCAAAATGCTTTGATACACTTTTTGATATGAGTTAGAGAAAAAAGCATAATTTTCTAGACAAGAACTGAGTAATATGAGCAGAAAAAGGAAAGTTCTTTTCATTCATTAGAGCATAGACAATACTTATACATAATTTTAAACTAAAGTTTGTTAGCTAAACTTCCATGATTTCAAGAAGTTTGTCCATCAAACTTTTATACAATTTAAGTTCCTCCATATCTTTACAATAACTCTTAAGTAATCAAAGATATGGAAGATTAAAATCATAGCAAAAGATATAAAATACCAAAATAATAGCACATGCATCAATTTTAGTTCAATGAACAGTAACAGTAGCAACTGTTCTCAATAGATATACCTATAAAAGGAAGAATAGAGAATCAATGCCAAAATCCCTTATCAAATTTCTTGTATTCAGAATTTTTTTATTGTTATTTCCTGTTGCTGCCAATTCAATAATAAAATTGAGAATAAATCAAGTGTTTCCTATGCTAATTATATTCTAGCAAAAATTCAATTTTCAATAAAACACATTTCTTAATTTAAACGTAAGTTAATAAGATTTTTAACACCAATAATTATTCAACCTATGGCAAATAGAATATGAATTTCCACAAAAAGTATTTAACCTTTAAATAAGATGTTTAACAATATAAGTTCAACATTCCCATAGGTAAAATTAGTCATTTCTTCTCGACAATTGAAATGCATACAATTTAAAAGATCAAAAGGTCTTTATTTTAGGAGATTATATCATTCTTCTCGACAATTGAACATCGCAATACTAATTAAAAGATCATAAAGGTCTTTTATTTATAGTTGATAATGATTCTTCCGGTTTAGAATCATCTTAGCTTAACAAAGACAAATAATCTGCTTCAGCACAAACCAAAGCAATTTCTAATAATATCAAATTTTCATTTATATTAAAACAAATTTTTATTTGTTTTAAAGGAAGATTCTAAACTTGAAAATGCTCACTTAGCTCCAAAATTAGAGATCACATTTGGCGTC